GGTCCCCCATATGCTCCACCTCACCAATCATAGACAAGGAAAGTAAGCAAACAATACAAAGCAAGACACTGCGGTGTTACTTACTATCTGAAACTAACAGATGGAGATTGCGTTAATGTGCATTAGTCTTAAACATTGGTGGTGTGTCCATTGCATTGTGCATAGCACAAAAAAAAAGATACATCTTGCACTACTGAAAAAAATCCATTAAACAAAGTCACTCATATATTTAATGAGTGAACTTCTACCATCCATCTTTGTTGCCTCATTGATCTATTTCTTGAAGAAAAGGGAAATAGCCAAAGTTCATTTAAAAAATAGGCAAAATGAGCTTTTTACCAAAGGCACTGTGGGATGCGTATTTCTGACCAAGATTCCCACGTGGCCTTAATGGCACCCATTGTCTATATATAATCTGAGCCTGTTTGTACATCTATGGGATATTTACTGGGGGCAAAGTGGCTAACCAGTCATGAGGCTGCCAACCCAGGGTAGGGGTGGTGAGGAAACACCCGTTCTTTCCCCTCCTCTGTTCCTGGTATGTTAAGAATCTGCCCATGACCAGGGATGCCCCCGAGTGCCTCTGGTGTGAGGGGCAGGGAGATGAGACAGCACCATGGACAGGGAGTTCCAGCAGTGCGGGGGAGAGAGCTGGGCAGCTGGGGTTAGTGGCAATGAGAATGGGGAGGGAGCTGAGCAGGCTGCTGGTGCAAGTGAGGAAAGACGGATTCATGAGATAAACCTCCTTAATTCCCAACTTCTTGCCCTTGCCTTCAGTCTCAATGAATTCACAGGGAACTCTCCCTGGGTGGGGACCCCTCATCCAGGGGCTACAGACATAGAGATAGCAAATACTTATCTGAAAAATGCTTATCAGAAATCCCTTGGGAAATGCAAATAAAACGAGATAGTGCTGCAAACTAATTTAAAGAACTATATTAAAAGTGATAAGCCAAACCATGTATTCATTATAAGGCAGAGAAAATGAATTCTCATAAGCTGCTGGTAAGAATAAAAAAATGTACAGTTATTTTAGATCACAATTTGTTATTTTCTTCAAAGGTAAACATACCCTGTGACTCAGACATTACAGTCTTTAAGTTACGGAAAAAAGATGAAATACAACTCAAAATAAAGAACTGTACACAGACGTTTGTACAAGCTTTATTTATAATACTCAAAAAACTGAAAATAACCCAATGTCTATAAAGATGGATAAATAGTGGTATATCCAAAGACAGCCAAAATAGAAAGTTGAGCTATTTTTGTCATTGATCAAACTCAAATTATGCAATGTAAGTCAGAAAAAAAAGTAAAACATTTAATGATCCAAATCACATAACTCTAGAAAATACAAAGGTATCTATATTAAGGAAAAGTAAACCAGTGTTTATTTGGAGGGCTGTGAAGGGCAGGGAGAGACTACAGAAGGACAGCAGGCAAATAAAGTGATAGATATTATCATTACTGTGAAGATGATGATGTTTTTCCCAGGTACATATGTATGTCAAAACATACCAAATACTCTATGTGCAAATTTAGTACATGTAAATTATGCCTCAATAAAGCTTTAAAAAAATGGCTCAAGATAAAATCTGTTACACCCCACTCTTTTTGGAAAATACATTTGGTCACACTATATTGACCCCACCCTATCTTCTCATATCCTGTGTGGTCTTCCCTCAGTGTCAGCAAATACTAATTAGTAGTAAAGGACCTTTACACTGGAGTCAACAGGAATGCTGGCTGGGTCACAAAAGCCATGTCTGGACTTTCTCTTTGTTTTCTGCTTATGCAGCAATGTCCTTGAGGGAAGCATTGCTGAGAGGCTACAAAAGCTCTAATTTTCTCTGACAATGACTTCAGCTACAAAAGATAAACATGCCAGGAGATCCTGAGATTTAGGTACACACTGGTCCTACAGTCACTGTCACATGACCATCTGTGGATGCCGTTAGAAGAGGCACATTCCATTCAGTCTTCAATCACTACTGATTCAGTCAGTCATGGTGACCCCTATGTTCTTAAAATCAGTTAACATCACCCATAGAACTGTAGACATCAGGGTTGTAGGACATGGTGAAGATAGCTTTAATAGAAAATGGCAGTGACGTAAGTCTGGCAAGAACCCTGGCAAGGTAGAAACTGCATATGCTTCTCTCATAAATGAAACGTAAGGGTGATCTCCCTACTGCGGACAACTGGCTATCTGAGTTTGAATTCAGGCATATGGGTCCTCAAGGTTTCTTCCAGTGATGTTAAACTGAACAAGGGAATACCACATTCCTTTGCACATTTAAGTCTTCTCTCTTGTGAACTCTCTGATGACAACGAAGATTGGAAGTAGAGATAAAGGATTTTCCACATTTGGTGCACTCATAAGGCCTTTCTCCTGTATGAACTCTCTGGTGTATAAGAAGGTGGTGTCTTTGGATAAAGGACTTCCCACATTCACTGCACTCATAAAGCCTTTCTCCAGTATGAACTCTTTGGTGTCGAATGAGTGTTGACTTATAGGTAAAAGATTTCCCACATTCACTACACTCATAAGGCTTTGATCCTGAGTGAACTCTCTGATGACAACGGAGGGTAAAAGTAGAGATAAAGGATTTCCCACATTCGCTGCATTCGTAAGGCCTTTCTCCTGTGTGAAGTCTCTGGTGTCGAATGAGTGTTGAGCTATGGGTAAAAGATTTTCCACATTCGCTACACTCATAAGGTTTTGATCCTGAGTGAACTCTCTGATGACAATGCAGGGTGTAAACAGAGGTAAAGGATTTCCCACACTCAGTGCATTCATAAGGCCTTTCCCCTGTATGAACTCTCTGGTGTATAAGAAGTTGACTTCTTTGGATAAAGGATTTCCCACATTCACTGCACTTGTAAGGCCTTTCTCCTGTGTGAACTCTTCGGTGTCTTAAGAGTGATGAACTATGGGTAAAATATTTCCCACATTCGTTACACTCATAAGGCTTTGATCCTGAGTGAACTCTCTGATGATAATGGAGTCCAGAGATAAAAGCAAATGATTTCTTACATTGATTACACTCATAAGATCTTTTTCCTATATGAAGTCTCTGGTGTTGAGAAAGGTAAGATTTGTATCTAAATGATTTCCCACATTCAGTGCACTCATAAGGCCTTTCTCCAGTGTGAATCCTCTGATGTTCACTCAATTGAGAACTATCCCTAAAGGATTTCCCACATTCACTGCACTCATAAGGTTTTTCTCCTGTGTGAACCATGTAATGATCACGGAGAGTAGAGCTAGAGGTAAAAGATTTTCCACATTCAGTGCACTCATGAGGCCTTTCTCCTGTGTGAATTCTATGGTGTATAACAAGGCGATATCTTTGGGCAAAAGATTTCCCACATTCACTGCATGCATAAGACCTTTCTCTGGTGTGAACTCTCTGATGTCCAGTAAGTGCCAAACTCCTTGTACAAGATTTCTCACCTTCACTACACTCATCGGGCCTTTCTCTATTATGTATCTTGTGATGATACCTGAGGGCAGAGTTAGAAGTAAAAGATTTCCCACATACACTACACTCATAAGGCTTTGATCCTGAGTGAACTCTCTGATGATAACGGAGTCCAGAGATAAAGGTAAAAGATTTCCTACATTGACTACATTCGTAAGATCTTTTTCCTGTATGAAGTCTCTGGTGTTGAGAAAAGTAAGATTTGTATCTAAATGATTTCCCACATTCAGGGCACTCATAAGGCCTTTCTCCAGTGTGAATCCTCTGATGTTCACTCAATTGAGAACTATCCCTAAAGGATTTCCCACATTCACTGCACTCATAAGGTTTTTCTCCTGTGTGAACCATCTGATGACAACGGAGGGCATACCTAGAGATAAAAGAGTTCCCACATTCACTGCACTCATGAGGCCTTTCTCCGGTGTGAACTCTCTGGTGTATAAGAAGGGGATATCTTTGAGTAAAAGATTTCCCACATTCACTGCATACATAAGGCCTTTCTCCGGTGTGAACTCTCTGGTGTCGAGTGAGCGCCCAACTCCTGGAGAAAGATTTTTCACATTCTCTACATGCATAAGGCCTTTCTCTGTCATGAGTCTTGTGATGATACCTGAGGGCAGAGGTAGAAGCAAAAGATTTCCCACATTCACTACACGCATAAGGCCCCAATCCATCGTGAACTCCCTGATGATAATGGAGGCCAGAGCGAGAGGTAAAAGATTTCCCACACCGACTACACTCATAAGACCTTTTCCCACTACAACTTCTTTGGTGTTGAATGACGTAACACTGATGGCTAAAGGATTTCCCACATTCACTGCACTTGTAAGGCCTTTTTCCTGTGTGTACTCTCCTGTGTAGAATGAGTTTAGAGCTACTTGTAAAAGCTTTCCCACATTTATTGCACTCAAAAAGCCTTTCTCCTTTGTGTACTCTCTGGTGTAAAATGAATACTGAGCTATTGGTAAAAAATTTCCCACATTTGCTGCACTTGTACTGCCTTGTCCGAGTATGAAATCTTTTGTGCTGATGGAAGGTTGTGCTTTGCCTAAAAGATCTGCCACATTCACCACACATGTGAAGCCTTGAAACAAGGTGCACTCTCTTGTGAATAACAAATAAGGATTTATACCTGAATGTTTTCCCACATTCATGGCACACAAAACACTGTCTTCTAGTGTGGACACACTCATCCTGAACAAGTATGTGCTTGGGACCAAAGGTATTCTTGTCTTCTTCCCAGGTGTAACAACTTTTTCTGCTTTGTAAAGTTACTCCACACTGGGTGATTTTGTTTGGCTTTTTCCCAGTATGAGTAGCCTGTTGGAGACATCCTAAGGTGGTCAGGAAGTCCTTCCCAACTTTCTCACAGATAAAGGGATTCCCTGACGCATAGAATTTGTAGCTCTTCACAAACAAGGCCCTGTCTATACTGCTTTTGATGGGTTTCTTTTCCATATGCTGCTTCTGGTGTTTTTCAAAGTTTGCAGTAAAATAAAATTGTTTCATACATACCCTACAACTGAATACTTTATGGCTGTGTTGTATTCCCTGGTGCTCAGCCAAAATTCCTCTCAAAACAGGACTCTGCATCTCACAGGGATGGGTTTTCTGGGAAGACAGAGTTGCCTTGGGTGTCCTGGCCTGTGACACTCCCACAGGAAGGTTCTGTTCAAAGGGTGCCTCTGCTTCCTCTGCTCCAGAGCAGCAACCTGAATGCAAAGAAATGCTGGTAAAATACATGACTTTATAGGGAGGAAGCAACCCCATCACAAATGTACATCTGCCACACCTAGGAATGCATCAGTGGGATGCCTCCAGACAAAAGAGTTTGCATCTGGTTGGTAAAGTGGCCACGGTGCATTACTGGGCCTCCATGGCAAAGGGATGGAGAGGATCTCACTGGACATAATAGGTCATAACACAAAGAAGATAGGCATATCCCAAAACCTGCTCTTCTGAAAAATGATTCCTATAATATATTTCCTGCCAGTGCCGTGAAGATGCATAGAAGCATATTTCCAAACCCAGGAAAAATAAACTGCAATAGAATAGCTGATGTCCAAGGTCAATTTAAAGATGTGTGCATACCTCACAGTACATGTGGAGCAATGCTGCAGAGCAAGAAGGGGCTACGAGGGAAATGGGCAAGACAGGAAATCCAGACAGAGGTTATCCCCGGGATGGAAGCCAGAGTAGAAATGACAAAGTGGTAGAACTGACTAGTCAGCAAACCATTAACAATGGGGAAGGAAAAGTAGAAGTGGGGGGTGGCAGTGGCAGAGACAACAGCAGACTGGTTAAACATTCATGGTATGATCTTGACACAGGGATCGTAAGTTTAGACAGAGAAGGGTGAGGGCCTCCGGAAGAAGCAAAACTGGGTAATTATGGTCAGAACAATGTAACAGTGTGAATAGAAACTCCTACTGAAACTCTGTATTAAACGTTAAGCAAAGTCAGAGTCACACAAATTTTTTAGGACAGAAGTACCATATTAGGAATATTCAGCAATTTTCAGCAGGATTGGTTAAAACAAGCAAGCAAAAAGCAGCATTCAGGCTGGGACAAATAATAACTAAACACCTTAAACCTAAAACTAAAAACCCCTAGACAATACCCAACCATGGACTTCTCCTGTCCCCTTCTGGTGTGTGCCAACAGTTCTGTCCTGTCACCTTATCTAAATAAAAGCCCCTTGCTTTCCTACCTTAAGTGTTTGCAAAGTTCATTCTTCGACTCTGCAAACAAGAACCCTGACATCAATCTGAACATGGTCCTGATGTCACAGCCACCCCAGTTTCAAGAGGACCATGTACCTGTAAGTTCAATTTGCAGCCTTTGCTAATGAGAACCCCTACAATCTTTGCCACCGCTGATGGTGTTACACAGTGACTGCATGGCCAGTCCATCCCCAGAGCTAAAACCATCACCCTCCACCCAGCTGGTGACCTCACAACCAACCCAAGATGAACGTCCTCCCCTAGAAAAACCAGCCAATAAAGAATAGAAGTGGTGGCTCCTCCATCAACTGTGTAGATACCAACAAAAAGCTATAAGGAACATGAAAAAAAAATCAAGGAATCCTAACATTACCAAAGGAACACACTAAGTTTCTACCAAGTAAATTTCCCCAAACCACAGATCTATGAATTGCTGGACATAGAATGCAAATTAAATGCTTTAAGGAAGCTCAGCCAACTCCAATAGAATACAGACAATTCAGTTAAATCAAGAAAACAATACATGAACAAATCAAGAAGCTTAAAGACAAATTTAGAAAAAAAAGAAAAATTCTGGAGCTAAAGATAACAATGAAATGAAAAATTTGACAGAGAGCATTAACAGCCAATATGATGAAGCTGGAGAAAAATTTGACCTTGAATCAGGTCATTTCATTATCCAGTCAGAAGAGAAAAAAAGACTTAAGAAAGCCTATGTAAATTATGAGATGCTATTGTTTACCAAAAAACAAAACAAAAAAACAGGCCCAAAATGGAGTCAATTATGTTAAGGCCCCACATTGGTAAACCAAATTAATACCTAATCTAACTGCAGTTTCAGCCTCCCCCTACCCTCAGAATGTAACCATTACACAGCAAAACTGGTCTTTCCTGGAAGTGATCCCCTGATTGACTTCTTCCCCCTTAGGGGCCTAGAACAATACAAGACATTCCTTGCTAATGTTTTATTACGCTGTCTCTGCCTTTAAAAGCCCTTCTGCCACGAGCTCAGTGGAGCTCCTATTTGCTAGATGGGATGCTATCCGATTCATGAATCATTCAAAAAAGCTAATTTGAGTTTTTTAATTATTCAGTTGAATTTTTGTTAACAGATTTGCTGGCATCAGTGGGACCAAAGATGACTTCTAGCAGTTTCACGGCCAATGAGAGATACAGGTGTGGTGCCCCCACAAGCCCTTTTTGGAGTTCACTGTCTTTCTTGCCATTTCCCAGGACCACTGGTTGAGTCCTCTCAGTATGAACTCTGTTTTCTTTGGATGGAGCTCCTGATGTAATTTACTTTTCAGTCCAGGGCTTAGTGGATCAGACTGAGCTGGCAGATGGTTCCACCTAGAAACTGACTCCATAGCCCTTCATTCAGTCCACAGTCCCCTAATTGTTTGGAATCTCTTTTCCCAAATCTGCTCTGCAGTTCCATCTACCAGGGTTTGCTGGTTTGGTCCTCTCCCCAGTTCCAGTCTGCAGTCCCTATGAACTGGAATCTGCTGGTTCATTAATGCTGGGAATTGCTGGTGGTGCACACAGCCTCCTCATGGTCAGTTGGCAGTGACATATTTTAGTGATTTCTGGTATGTTGAGGTGCACATGTTTGTCTGTCTTTTGTTTGAGTAAAGGCTATTGCTAACAGGGATCTCAGTAGCTAAAAAACTGTAAAAGTTGGTGAGCATGGGTTGAGTATGTAAGAGCTGTTAGAGTGCTTGCCAACTAAGACTCCTGTGTTAGGATAAATTGGTAATGGAATGGGTTAGAGTGACAGTAGGTCACCTGCCAACCTCAAGAAAATTTCCATGCAATGAAGCACACTGTAAAACATGCACAACCCCTAACTCAGTGGTGCATTTCTTCTAGGTATTAGTTTGGCTCTGAGAAAACCAAAAGCTTAGCAAATGGGATCCTTAAATTCTACAGTCGAGAATACCATCTTCAGGCACACTTACATATTTCATATCAAAAAATTATGATCTCAGAAGCTGTGATTATCTATAGAAATGGTACATTTTTACTAAAAACAACCTAGAGTTACAATGTTCAATATGGTGAACATTCCAATTGCCCAAGATCACACTCAAAATAAGGGTTCCTGAATTAAGTGACAAGAATGAAATACCTGTTTTAATTAATATATAGAAGCTTCCAAAAGGCTTCATGATTCTAAAATAGTTTCATTAAAAGACTCATTACAGAAGACTGATGAAAAATTAAATACACATAAGGTACCTGAACCATAAGATGGTAAGGACTGGCATGTCCTCTACTTCGCTGTCTCCTTCTTTACCTCAGACTCACATTTTACTAACTGAACTGCCTTTACACTCTGGACACTATTCAACTTATACTTTTAAAAATAAAACTACCTGCGGTTTCAGATGCATCTCCTCAGGAATCTTTCACCCTTTGGTCAAAGACCAAACTAAGAGCCATTGTTAAAGACTTTCCTAAACCTAGGGAGGAACCCCAATAGTCTTTGAAGAACTTACAGGCATTATCAGGGCCCAGGACACCGTGCTGCCAGACTGTTACCAGCTGGTGCGCATGTTGGTGGGACCTGGGAAAGCCAAAAAATGACTGCAGGGGCAGGGGACAAGCATCATGATTGACTTTTCCTGCCTATTACGAAAAATGCCAAGATATAAACAGTATAATAAGAACAAGAGGAACTCCATTTTAAGGTTAAGTTTCCAATTTAAAAACCAGGGATTTAGGAGGTGATATTCCTAATATATTTTATGGTAACCAGACAATAATCAACCCTATCTTAAGGCAAGCAGTCCTAAATGTATGTTCCCACTGCTTGAGGGTAGCCACTATTTTGGAGAACAGGACCAACAAATGCCTTGTGTTACGTTTATCTTAGAGAATATCTAGAGGACTATGGATGGTGACATAATGTCTCTCATGGGAGACATCATGAGACCACGGAACAAGCCTACACCCCTCCCAAACCTCTGCCACCATTTGCCCCATTCTTGAAAGCCTTAAAAGACAGAATCCTAAGTCCTTAAGTGCGCCTGCTCTCTGAGGTCGCCCACGCTCCCCTTTCTTCAAGTGTTTACTTTTTGCCTTAAATAAAGACTCCTCACTGCCCAAAGTACTGCATTTTGTCTCTTCAGCTCTTCCAATGTAAGCATCTTTGTCATTTTGCTATATAATCTGGCTTTCTAGACTTAAGCACAAGTCTTCTCTTTCTCTGTATTACTTCAGACAAGTAGGGAAGGACCACTAAGATCTCTGACTTGGGCTCACAAGCTCCTGTCCGCTGGGTGACCCAGACAGGACTGCAGTTGGGCTCACAAGCTCCTGTCCCCTGGGTGACCCAGAAAGGACTGCAGTTGCACAATTATGCTCTTTAGTGGGCTGCCCAGAAACCAATCTTTGCCTTTGGGAAATTTTCAGAACATCATCTCACTCCATCCAGTGTTCTGCAGCTCCCCCAAAACCTGGGATAGTAGGGGCTTAGCGCCCATGCTACACAGAGCCAAGCAGACCCTGGATGCCAGGTGGCCCTGGCTTCAGGAGTTGGCAAGGGAGCTGCCCTGGGCTGAGCAGGCGTTCAGTGAGCTTCCTTTCCTCCCTCTTTTCCTGGCTCTCTCCCATCCACTCCCGCTCTCAATTTAATGAATTCCTGTTACCTACACTTGTCCGGCTTGTTTATTCTTTCTCATGCAACGTCAAGAACCCTCCCCTGTCCAGGCTGAGGTTTTACCTGGTGCTCAGGGAGACACCTCCCCCAACATGGCTGCCCAATACAGGAAATAAAATGGCAAAACCTTGAGGATAGTATTTGAGATACTTGACCAGAAAGGGCTTGCAAAATAGGTGACCTTTTACAATCCATTCCCAGAGTGTTCCCTGCTGGCACTGAACGGCTCTGTTACTATAACATGCAAACCAAAGAAAGATCAATCTGTGACAGTCTTTAAAGCCTGTTTGGAAGCACTCCTCCTGCATTCTGGGCTTCACACTGTTGC